AAATAGAAGATATATAAAGACTCTATTAAAAAAAAAAAAAATCTCAAATACTGTATAAAAATTCAAACAGACGACTTTTACTTTCAAATTAGTCGGAATTCCACTGAATATATCATCCTTATGTAAAAAAACAAAAAACTGAATAGATACCGTAAAGAAACTCAAATGGGTGATTTTATATTAAAATTAGTCAGATAATGTAAAATACCTCGTATCAGAGAACTATGGTCTATTTTGAATGGAAAGAGAGAGAGACATAAGGAAGCAATGTTTACTTAATTTCCACGCTGATATTTCTACACTATTTCGCAAAGGGATTTCCATTATGGTCCTCTCGAATTGCAAAACAAAATATCCTGCGTATACGATAATTGGCGAAGCGACAACACAATAATATTCTTACTGATATCAAAAGAAAATAATAATAAGTAAATTACTTATTTGCCACACACGGATTGATACATTACAATTAGTCAGATAATGTAAAATACCTCATATTAGAGAACTATGTCTATTTTGAATGGAAAAACATAAGGAAGCAATGTTTACTTAATTTCCACGCTGATATTTCCACACTATTTCGCAAAGGGATTTCCATTATAGTCATCTCAAATTGCGAAACAAAATATCCTGCGTATACAATAATTGGCGAAGCAGCAACACAATAATATTTTTTCTGATATCAACAGGAAATAATAACAATTACTTATTTGCCACACGCGGATTGATACATTAAAATTAGTCAGATTATGTAAAATACCTCGTATTAGAGAACTATGTCTATTTTGAATGGAAAAACATAAGGAAGCAATGTTTACTTAATTTCCACGCTGATATTTCCACATTATTTCGCAAAGGGATTTCCATTATAGGCATCTCGAATTGCAAAACAAAATATCCTGCGTATACGATAATTGGCGAAGCGACAACACAATAATATTCTTTCTGATATCAACAGGGGAAATAATAACAAGTAAATTACTTATTTGCCACACGAACTGCGGAGCAGGTATATACCAGAAGAGCGTAAAACAGAAACAGGAATATTATCAGATTGGTGTAATGTAAAATATTTGGACACAGAAAGCGTTTCGTCCAGAAATATTGATTATGCATCATTAGATTAGATTATTTATCACCAAAATTCTTAAGAGCATCGAGAGTTTAATAATTAAATTAGATTTATCAGATCCAGTATACATATATGTACATAAAATGTATACGTAAATACATTAATTATATTTATGTATACATACACATATGTATATATATAGGGTGAGGAAAAAGTATGGAAACCCTGAAAAATTTCGAAAAATGTAAGTTTTACAGAAAATTGTTTCGAATAAAAATTGTGGGGTTTAAAAAGATCTATTTACTGATCTATTTACTGATCAATTTAGGTTTGGATGGCGTCGCCAAGGTCAGAACAACTTGGTCCTAGAAAATAAAATATCTCGTAAAATATTTAGTTTTCGATAATCTTACCGTAATACTTTTATGTACAGAATAATGAAACAAATAAATTATTGTAAAAAAAAACAAATAATTGTTAAAAAAAATACATCATAAATAATTACATACTTTTTCTTAAAAACAATTATTTTCTTTATATCAATTATTTGTCTCATTATTCTGTACAT